CAGCACTAGGCGCCTGGTCGGTCTCTTTCTCCACTTTCGACGGCGTTCGGTTTGTTCCCTGCATGGTTTCGGACCTTGATTCTTTGTCCCGGTGTATATAGACCTCTCGCAATGAACTTGATTCAGCCAACCTACTTGCCACCCTATTCACATCAAGCCCACATACTTCGTATGCATGTGATGCGTGTTCGTGTAAGCCAGCTTTATCTGGTAGTATCGTGTGGTAGCCAATTCGCGTGTGACGGCTGCGCAGGGTTGTTTTCGAAGCGGCGAGAAGGAGGGGGGAGTTGCGGAAGCTATAAGCCAGAGGTATAGCGGTTGGTGGCGCGGGAAGTGGAGGAGACGAGGCGGAGGAGAAAGCGGGTAGTTGGCGCTGCCAGGGAGGGAAGGGTCGAGATGGCATGGTGCCCTGTTTGAGGATTGGTTCTGGAGTCGCCTGTTAGTTGGAGCGATTTCGAGCTTTTTGACGCGACCTTCATGCGGCGATGGGACGTCTCTGGATGATGTCGCATGGTGTCTGGGAGTGAAGGGAGGACGCTTACAAGGCAGTGAACACCACGGCTGGTACGTAGAGTATACTCATCTCTGACACCATGACGGGGCCGCCGAGGTACTCCAAGACCCCTTTGGCAACAGATACTTTGAACAAAGGTACATGGATCGGCGTCTATCTGCCAGAAGGTCGTCGCGCAATGTTCGTGTGACGGACGCGTGCGCGCAGAGGCTCGGAATGAGGGTGATTCCGAGACATTCCGATAGAGCCAAAGCTTCACAGCACAGCAACCAGCCAACAACTCAAGTTATGCAGAATGTTATTAGACTATATTCATAAGTTGAATGTCATGGTATCTCCTGTGCTCAATAACGCCTCGCTATCATGATCATCAAATGTCGCCGACGAAGGCTACCCAGTAAATGCACAACCCATCCTTCCTTCTCAATTTCATCTCGTCCGTACCACGAGGCAGGTGTGCAGCCTCATCCTCACAAGCTGACATAGCCCATAAGGTGCTTAGTCTGACCTGCTCAGACCATCTGCTCGCCGTGCCTGTCAGCACCAACGGGCTTCCTCTGCACACGGCTCGAGGCGCTGCCGTGGTGGCCGTGAGCAGGCCCGTCAGGATGCGGCATCATGGTACCCCTAGGACCATCTGCGGCATCGAAGGGTGCTCCGCCCCAGCTGGTTCCCTCAATCGTACCCCATCCAGCCTTGCGAGTGAAGACAGTGTCGTGGAAGCCATCGAAAGAGCTTGGACCGGCGCCGTAGACGAAAGGAGCGTGGCGCATGAGAGGGATGTGGTTGAAACGGAAGTCCCAGACGGAAGCATAGGTCATGCGGTAGGCGCTGAAAGCCATCAGCGTGCCGATGACAGCTCCGGCGAGGATATCGTACTGAAGACTCGTTAGTAATTGTTCTGATATGTAAGGTGGAAATTATCAAGACTTACCCAGTTGTGGTACTCGTCGATAGTAAGAGCACCTCCAATCAAGCAAGCTCCGAGAATAGGTGCGTAGAGAGCGATGAGCTTCCACATAGCCGGGTGGTGGTTGGAAAAGACCTTCAACTTGGCGTTGAGGTATAGGTACAGGTAGACGAAACCGGCGAACGCAGCCGTGGTGTGACCGGAAGGCATGGATTCAAGGCTGTCGTTGATCTCCTTCCTGTCACCTGTGCAGATGCTGCGGTCGAACATGATTTGACGGTATCCATTTGCGACGTTGCCATAGGCGCTACCGGCTTCGACACCGTTGTCGTTGGCGCCGACAGTGTCAAGGATGTCGGCAGGGATGACAGGCTTGCAGACGGCGAGGAAGTGAGGACGAAGACCTCCAATGAGCCACTTGATGAAGACCTGGAAAACGGCCGCGGTGATCAAAGCGTAGAGAAGTCCGATGGTAGCATTGTTCAGGTCCCAGAAGCTGCGAGCGCGGATCTGCACGATCAGGAACACGGCAAAGGGGATGAAGAACGCCATGAGCGCGGCGGCCCAGATGGGAACAATTTCGTTCCGCATAGGGTAAGCGAATTGCGGGTAGACAATCTCTCCATCTTGGAAGATGATGGGGAAGCTGCGGCTCGGGGCTGGATCAGCAAAGTATACACCGAGGCCAACAGCGCCCATGAGGGCCATGGTGAGGATGTCGAGCCAGGTAGCCTTGATCCATGATCCGAAGCCAGGCCTGCTGTTGTAGGAGGACGAGCCGCCTTTGGAAGCACGTCTAGGCCTGGCACGCTTCTCGTGAGCACCGGTTGCCGTTGTAGTGTCTGCGGCGACGGGCGTCGTGTTGCGCTTGTTGAAGAAACCCATTTTGCTGGAAGTGCGTTCGTTGTTGATGCGTCGAAGTGCTGGAGTCGAGGTATCTATACCGCGTGCTGATGACGTATTGTTGTCTTTGTTGTGATTGTTTGTTCCGGAAGGGGTCACGCAACAAACGACGTAGCGTGCCAGCAAAGCCGACAGCACCTGCACTTAGCGGACCAACTGAGCAGTCAAGGTGAGAAAAGAAGAGGGATAGGCCTTGTGGAAACTCGATAGAAAGGCTTGCAATGCGAGTCTTATATCCCAAAGCCAATTTCCACACTACAAAGTGTCACACGGCCACGCACTCTGTCAAACGACATCATTTTCGCATCTCTGCCACTGCATTGGTAAATTACCAGCCACAAACCGGTTGCTAACCCTGCCGTTGCTCTCGATCTGGACGGCTGGCGGCATGGTGATGTGGAGGGCATGGCGATCTTAACGCGATTAAGCGGGCTGACACAAGGAATCTTGGAACCTGCCAAAAGCTTGGTGCATGTAGCCAAAGCTTGGTTTCGCTAGCGGTGGCTTTTGTGTGGCTAATTGGTGGCGGTGATGTCAGGAAAGTGGCTTTCGCGGCATTATGGTGCCGGATCTGCTTTCGATTCTTCACGATGTGTGGCGCTGGGCCGATGGTGTTGCGCAGCCTGCATGTTCTGGTTTCTCATGTGCGTCCATGCGCGATGACCGTTGGTGACGTCAGACGCATGCATTTCCGAGCGATACACACACTTCGATGGGTTGAGCATCCTGCTCACGACACATCACATCTCATTAGCACATCATTGGAATCGTGCACCATACGGCACAGTTACCTTTGTCGGGTGCAACTTCCAAAGACTACCGTTCTTGAACGAGTATCTCTCGGTTCAGCGCGTCGGATCGTCTGCTTCGCTCAAACACGCGTCGTCACGGTCAACAAGAGATCAGGGAGCGACTCCATGTTCCTATTCAGATTCAATCAAAGCGGGTACTATAAAGAAACTTGTTGCGCAAAACTCCTCATGATAACAGAAAAAATCAGGGCTGGTTGACCAACCCTGCACCCGATTGCTTCAACGCCCTGTTCTCCCCCTGGGTATCATCCGCCTCAAACCATCGCGCATCTCCTTCCCCTCTTTATAGTGCAATTCACTCCCAGCACAATTACAACACGGTCTAAGAGTGAATGTGAACCTCAGTGCTTCCGCTGCGATGCCAAGTCGCAAGAAGCACGCCACAGCGACCGCACTTGTGTTGGACGTCCTTAAGTGAGTTCATCACATAAGGAATGCATCCCAGGCAGCAGAGGCAGCAAAGACCGAGAGCCCAGGCGTGCGTCGAATTTCCCGTCTCGAAAGCGACGTTGGTCATGGCACGCTGTCCGCATGCAGGGCAATCTGTAGGCGCAGGTCCACGGTTCAGGTTCGCGATTGGCGTGGCGTTTTGGTAGACGGCTCCGCTTTGTTGTTGGGGAGGCATGCCAGGCTGTGCGCCAGCGTGGTCAGGTTGCACGTATGCGCCTTGTGGATGCTGAGGCGCTGGCGAGCCAGTAGGGTGATCTTGAGGCTGTTGTGTGTACATAGCTGGTTGCTGCTGGTATTGTGCGTTGGGATCTTGGTGGTAAATGGGTGGTTGACCGGTCGCGTCTGGAGACTGAGGATATTGCTGCATGGGCACTTCAAAACTGTCAGCAAGATAGTCATGGTATTTGAGATAGGGAAATTGAAGGCTAGGCGGCGTAGTCATTCAAAGGACTATGCGCTTCATAACGGCGTAGTTCTTGGATCGCATTGAAACGCGTAAAATCCATACACAACAGTCGGAGGGCAGTTACTAACCGTTTTGCTTCTCCATTGTGAAGGTTTATTTTGTCAAAGCCTGTGGAATACTGTTTTGTTTTCCGGTAGTATGAATGCAGCAGAAAGAGTTGGGCGTTATGCAGCGGCGTTTACCACAACATGTGAGATTGGACGTGGCTTTTATCGAAGCCTTTAGGCGTTCCACCATCGCTTGGGTCCACGGCCAAGGGGGCTCAAACCGGGTATCGCAAGCACAGCCTTCATTTCGCGTGATGATCACTCGCCGTTCACCCCGCGTAGGGCTCTTAGCTGCTTGACGAGGCCAATGAGCGGTCCGAAGCTCGTACACGTAGCATGACTGGATGCATGACTTGGAGGCGCTTCAGCCTCAGCTGCCCGCATTGGTGATGGGGCGAAGGGCGTTGGCGATGAAGGGTGCAAGTAGCGTGCCAGGGAATAGCGAGCCAAGGCTGTAATTTCCCGAAGCGGTTTGACGCAGTCCTGAACTTGGGGGCCAAAATCTATACTATTTTCATGTTATGCAACGCCTTGCGTTGAACGCCTGGCTGACACGCCGCACTATAACGGGCATCGGCATGCTTTGTTGCCACGTCGTCTTGGCTACATCACATTGGATCTCCAACTAGACATTGCGCAGAAGTATGATGGCATTTGACATTAGGTGTAAGGCTGTGCAGATAACCGCGATCAGCACGTGGTTACAGGATATCTACTAGCGACTAGGGGCTGCCCGTTCCTGCAGATGCCTATTTTTGCACCGCTGTGCCGCCGCAAGGTTTGTTGATTCGGCCAACCGAGACGTGACAAGACCAGGTGTGCGGAGACAGAACCGGTGAGCTGAGCGGGTGGGCAGACTGGTTCAATTTCACCGGTTATGCACGGCCTTTTCATGGCTTCAGTATCTCGTGTCCATATCGTCTAGATCGACGTCGTCTTCTGACTCTGAATCAACGTCGCCGTTTGTTGGCTTTGCATGACCGACATCGCTCCGGTTCAGCAGTCTTTGCTGTTCTGGGGTCAGGTCGACGACAGTAGGAGCGTAGTCGCCAAGCTCCTCATCGGCGTCTGCACCATTGACTTCCATCTCTACTCGTTCACCGTCCTCTAGTTCCAGCATACCGCGCTTTAGATAAGAGCCCTCTGGTTCCCATCCGAACTCTTTCTGCATATATTCTTGCAGATCCTCTAGCTCATCTACCAAGTCAGCTTTCCACTTTCCGTCGAAGTCGTCGAGAGCTTTGCGGAATTGGCCGAAGAGCGGTTTCAAGAAGCCTCCGCCAACATCGTTCATGTCGAACAAGTCGCCTTCTATATTAGCGCAATGGCCAAGCTGTATCCGCAGGCATCGCAAGAAATCGAGAAACAGGCGCGATCGCTGTTTGACGGCTTGCCGGCATGTGAGTAAAAGGCGCAGGAGCCGCTTCCACTGTTCGAGACAGGAGTTGTTGTTGAGGGTCAAGACCATAAGGAAAGTAAACTGCAGCTCGCCCAAGATTTCGTCCTCTCGTCCACGAAGATCACTCGCCTGGCAGTGGTTGTCGATGAGATCTCCCAGAAACCAGGATCGGTCTTGCGCGGCTTCTGTGCGTTCCCTCCCGGTCGCGCCTTCTCTCCAAGTCTTTTTCAGGTCGATGGGCAGGAATCGTAGCTCCTTCTCCGGATGCAGCATGCTGTTGCTATTCTCTAGGCCAGGTATTTCGTCCAGGTCTTGTGGGGCGGATGATGCGGATGTCAAGTTCCAGTGATCCGGATTCAGGCCACATATCCTCGACAGCATAGTGGGTGTGACTTGGGATGTAAGCTTGCTCCAGTCGGTAGATTCCTCAGACCAGCCTTCTTCAGCACCAGAGTCCCCTTCCTGGACGCTTTGTCGGTAAGGTGTCAGGCCATCTTTCCATATGCTTCCCAGGTTCGCCTTGTGTCTCAGGACTTCGGTCTGCGAGGTTTCGGCTACGAGGTCTTCGGTGCTCTCGTCCCATTTCTTAACGAAGACTTGCGGCGAGCCTACGCCAGGGGTGACGTAGAACCAGGCGCCGTGTCTCACAGACAAAGTGCTGTCGCTTGCAGTGAAAACAAAATGCAGGCCTGGTGGAATGTTTTTCACTCCTCGAAAACGTGGTGATGAAGTGAAGGACAGGAGGTCGATGCCGGCAAGTGCCTTGGGGGGCAAATTCAGCAGCAGTACGCAGTTGTTGATTATTGACGGGTCCATCCTAGGGCGGAAGATTTCCTCGAACCAGGAGTGTCGGAGAATTTTGAGGATAGGTTTTTCGCAAAGCTCTACTCGAGCAGGTGAGAAATGGGGTATCATGAATTCCAGGAAGGGCAAGACGCGAAAATATCAAAACACGTGAGCGCGGCAGCCTAGCTCTGATGCAGGGTCCAGGCAGACGCTGGAAGTGGTCAGGAAGGAATCGAGGTCGAACGGACGCGTCGCCCCCAGCGCTTAAGATTGTTTCGCCGCATGAGTAGCTATCGGGGGAGCTTGTGGACATCTGATGCCATGTACCGGTAAAGAGTGACCGATATCTCCCCGAAACACACGCCATACGTCATTGAGTTAGTACGAGGCTCGGCTCGGGATGGCGATCTCATCCCGACTCTCCACTTGTGCTCGAGGGAACCATCTGATTGATGGGTGTCCCTTGACAAGAAGCCGTCGTGGCAGCCATCCTGTTGTCTAGACGCCATCTGCCTGGGCGACGTGCAACCTTGACGATATCTCATCGCCCTACCCCGCCCGGCCCGACCTACTGCCAACAGTGAAACCGTCACCCACGCCCTGAGACCAGCGCGCACGCAAGGGAGCAGTTGCAGGTGACAGGAGCATCTGCAGCCCTCGAAGAGCCCGCCGCCCGCTAGCCGTAGCCTCGAGTTGTTACCGTGGAACTGGCGCATTCAACCTCTTCATGTTACCCGCAGAAGCATCCATCCGAGCCATCCAACAGACGACGCACTGAAGACGCACGCGCACAACCGCCGCCATGGACCGCCGCCGCACCCCCGGCCTCTCGTCGCTCTCCTCGCGCGGCCTGCAGAACCACCACTACACGTCGCACGGCGCCACGCTGCGAACCCGCAATGCCGACTCCCTCTCGACCCAGCTGTCCGTCTTCCAGTCGCTCCTCCACAACTTCGCCGTCACCCACTCCAAAGACATCCGCGCCAACCCTGCGTTCCGCGCCGAGTTCGCGCGCATGTGCTCGGCGCTGAACATCGACTTCCTCGCTTCCTCGTACCACCGGGACAATAAAGATGGCAAGCCAAGTGGCGCTGGCGGGGAGAGCATCTGGGCACAACTGCTGGGCGGGAGTGTGAACGACTTCTACTTCAACTTGGGTGTCTTGATTGTGGAAGAGTGTCGGGCCACGAGATCAGAGAACGGCGGGCTCATCAGCGTCTCGGATCTCAAAGCCCGCATATCCAAATCCCAGCGCATAGGCGGGAGCATGGAAGTCAGCGATGACGACATCAAGCGCGCCGTGGACTCGCTCGCTCCCCTCGGATCCTGCTTCTCCATCATGAAAATTGGGCACAGAAGCTTGATAAGGAGCGTACCCAAGGAGTTGAATACCGATCAGAGCACGGTACTCGAGGCTATACAGGTTCTTGGCTACGTCACAGTATCCATGTTGCAGCTTAATCTCAACTGGGAGAGACCTCGGGCCCATGCTGTGGTCGAGGACCTCATGGCAGACAGTCTGGTCTGGGTCGACACACAAGCCGGAGAGAACGAATACTGGAGTCCGGCCTTCCTCACCGCCGCCGGCATGAGCTCGTAGCACTTTCATAGGCTTCACATCAGGAATGAGCGCACGAGATACGGCATTATGATACCCGGTGTTTTACACCACAACGTAGCAGACGGCTAGATTGGTATATTTGGAGGCAAATTCATCATTACATATACAGACTATTATACATTTATTGCATCACCACAACAGTTCAGTGTTGCAAATCCTCGCCTCTTCGCTGTCTTTCCACGCGCCCCTGGTATGGCTCAATTCAGGCAGTACTCTGCGATGCCACCTCACACTCCATCTGTGAGCAGTATCTTCGTCTTCAAAATCCAGGACCCATCGGTTGTATACGCGGTTCATGACTAGCTGATTCGTTTGGCTGGGGCTGTCTTCGTTTGCACCAGATAGCATGCTCTGAATCGCCGGGTCATCGTACGTCGTCTCCAACTCTGGATTTGCTGGCTGATCAAAGGTGCCGTATGCGCGAGGACGATTCGACGAGACGGCCTTGGACGACGTCTTCAGATTAATCACATCGCGAAGACGGTGAATTGAAGTTTGCGACTCGTTGCGCAAGGGAAGAGTCATGCCATGTTTGTAGGCATCACGAGAGAAGATTTTGAACAGGTCCGAAGTGCTAGGCTCGTAGCCTTCGATATGCATGAGCACCCTCCATACGGTGTTTCCCTTCTCATCAACCGAGGGTGCGATGGGTTGGTAGCCGCCTCTCTCCACCAACGCACGCAGTACGGGGTTGTAGGGCTGCATGAGAACATTGAGACTCATGGGGTGATGTGCCGGCAGAAGATTGTAGGCTGAGATGGCAGCTGTGATATCTTCACCCTCTTCGAGGAACCCTCTAGGGGGTGGGATGGCGGAAAAGATACTCGCGGGCTGGTGGAGAGCGCTCAGCTTGTGCAATCTCGAAGCATTCTTCTGATACGCGAGGGCGGCCTCTGCGTTCTTGAAAAGTAAGTAATAGAAGGGCAGTCGCTCTAGACTCAGCGGGTCACGGCCAGGCACAATCTTATAAAGGTCGCCATCTCGATGCCAACCCTCAATGTGCTGGCTCTTTGGTATGATGCGACGGAAATCGGCTTCAGTCAGCTCGGTGCTACAGTTCGTGAGTTGAAGAACAGTAATTTGTTCCCCCTGCTTGCGCAACGAATTGACCACTTGCTCTTTGAGTGACGGAGTAGGTTCGTATACTTCCCGACGAATGATGGGCGTTGAGTCCGGGAGGTTAAGCTTGGGATACCTGTCGCTTTGCTCGGGCTGACGAGGTTGCAGAGTAGTGCTTGCCTCTGGGAAGAGTTCTTCAAGGAGCGATTGCTCACTCATTTCAGCGGTACCCGGTCTTGGTTTGGGTGACAGATTGGCAGTAGTGGTTGGACTAATTTCTGGCTTCTGCTGTAAAGGCGGCGGATTTTCGGTTTCTGTCCCCTTAGATTGCTCGATCGTTGTAGTCCTTCCGCGACCATCTTCAATATTGATGCTCAATTCGTCTGATGACTTCATTAGGCGTGACTGTGTATGGATTCTTCGCGTCAACCTCTCGCCGTCAATCTTCTTCTCTGAGCTTTTTAGCTCAGTGCCTCTTGGGAATTTCTTCACATTTTCGGCATGATCGTGAGCTTGCTGGCGATACTCTTCCACCGACGGAAGAACTGGTTTCGGCGCTCTTGGTGTGGTTGGTGACATACGAGCAAGCTCTTTCTTCAATTCTTTTACATTACTGCCAATCTTGGATGACGTTGCTTTTATGTCGCTGACTTGTAGCTTCAAGAGTAGATCCGGTCGCCCACTCACGCGATCAGAGCGTTTTTGTTCCGCGTGGAGCAAGTTCCAGTTCCTGTATGACGCTCTCAGAGCCTGCTTAAGCTCAAAGTCACCCTCGATTGCTGCGTCTTCATCCAATACGCGTATGCAGTCACGAGCATATCGGGCAGCTGGGGCCACTGCTAGAGAGCGTGCTGTTTCTAGCTCTGTAGCCACACTGCCTAATGTGTAGACCGACTTACGGAGGGCTTTCTGGCTATACTCAAGTGTGCGAGACAGGGTCTTCGGATAGGAGGTACCAGAATGACGGGAAAAAACCGGGTCGCCGCTCATCGAAGCATGTCCTAGTAACGACTGTATCGGGGTGGAGGAGTGTCCATCGTTCCGGGGTATGACAGGTGCCGCAATCGGTATGTCCTGTTCCCTGGGGGACGAAGACGGCAGCTGTCCCAGCGCAATCTTTGTTTCTAATGCGGCCTGGAGGGCTTTGACTTGCTCGAACAGGCCCTGGAGCTGCTGACGTATGACTGTAGTATCGTCATCTCGAAGAGTTGTAGCGACCTCCTTCTCGTTACTTGCGGTCGGATTTTGCCTACTCTGATCTTTGCGTATAGGGTCTTGGTGTTTCCGTTCACGTTCTCTTGTTTCGGGAGAGACAGGTAAGGCCACAACCTTCCTTACAACAGCTGGCTGGCCCAAGCGTCTCTCCACAGTATGCTCGGCCTTCCTCGCGGACTCAAAATCTTGATTTGGACTGTCCGCCTTCCCTGTGTGCTTGTCCTGTGGGCGTGTTCCTGAATGCAAACGCAATACCCTTCGCTGGCGCTGCGCTGGCGATTCAGTGGTTTTTCTGATCAATACAGCACTAGTATCAGATGCCTGCTCTTCGGATATGCCCTTCCCCTCTTCATTCAATTCAGACGTAGGAGGGTTCTGGGCTTGCGATTGCGATTGCGATTGCGGCGGCGATGGAGGTTGCAATTGGGTAGACGGAGTAGTCCGAGTCCAGGGTACAAGTCTGATCAACCCCCCGTTGAACCAGCTTTCCTTCCCTGTCTTGTGGCTGTCGGCAGTGGTGGTTTGCGGGGATTCATCGCCGACGGTCGAGGATGATGCGGGCGTCGTCCTGTGGGTGCAGCGAATCTGGTACGCGGTCCCCGAAGGATGACATGGCCGAAGATGTCGAGGAAGGCGCGGCGGTGGCATAAATTGCACGGCTTCGAAACATGGCAAGCTACCCTCTCTCGAGCGCGATACTCAGAAAAGCTTCGGAATGGGCCCGCGCTAACACACCCATCCGGCCTAGCTCCTAGTCGCTTAGTCACCCAGCATCCTTCACCACATCGGGCTGCATTGGAGGGCCCTGACATTCCTGCGCTAAGAGGCAATGGTACCTAGGTACAGGTGGAGATGAATTCGCATGCTAATTAGAGACTTCCAAAGTTGAAGCTTCCAGTACGCACGTGACGTGAGTCACACCAGCGACGCACCCAAAGCACTTCCGAGATTTTCACCACCCGTCTTGACATTTGCTGCAGTGCGCGGTGACAATATGAGCCCGGCAACATCTTACACTCTGCGCCCTCTAGAGCGCAATCCTCCGAGCATTCCCAGTAACGCACTCGAGGGCGGCGCCTTCCGTGTTCATCTATCACAGAAAGAGCTGAAATCGTTGGGGCTTGTCAATGGCGATTGTGTACGGCTGAGTACTGCTGCCGGTTTCAAAGGTTATGGAGTGGCCTGGCTAGCCTCGCAGACAAATCCTGGCAACAAGCCGATCGCCAAGGTGTCTGATCTTTTGCGAGAGCAATACGACCTCTCGCTTAATGATCCCGTCTTCATTGAGAAGGTAGACTCCTGGAAGCCTCTCAAATCCATAGAGATCAGTCTCGCAGATGCACCAAACCAAACTGCCAAGTTCAGCTCGAATGAGCAACTTTTGTATTGGCTACGACACACTTTAGGTAGGTCAACGATCAAATTTTGCTACTATTTCTGACAGCTGTGTAGCAGTGGACTCTGACATTATTCTTCCGGGATGCAGCTTTCCAGTTCAGCAAAAAGGCTTCAAGCAGAAGAGCCAAAAGTTGCGTGTCACTGTGCAGAACATTGATCCGTTGCCAACTGAGAAGCACGCGACCTATTTCGACGAACTTACTACTGAAGTTACTACCACGGGTGATATCCCTACTCAGCAGACCCCGAGAGCTTCCAAGCAGGTTCTCCAGGTAAGGGGCGATGGCATCGGCGGACTTTCTGCTCATATTACTACGATGAACAAGCGCCTCTCTTACCTCACAAACACTCTACCTCATCAACGCGACGTTCGCCTTTGTGGACCTACTTCTTTCTTACTACACGGCCCCGAGGGTACAGGCAAAAGTCTTCTACTAGAACGGCTAGCGGAATGCCCATGGCAAGAAGTGTACCGAGTAGATCCAGACACGCATCCGAAAGGACAAGCTAAGGCAATATCCGATGCTTTCGAGGACGCTCGTGACAATCAACCGAGCTTGATCATCATGGATAACCTCGACAGGTTTCTCGAAAAAGCTGAGACGCTTGTAAACAAGCTGCGGGATGAGTTGTCCAAGCTAGGTGGTAGCCAAGTGGTCGTGGCAGCAGCAGCGCGTAGCATATACGACGTTGACACCAGGTTACGATCACCGTCAGCTTTCAAAACGAAGCTAGAGATCTTTCCACCCAACACCAATCAGCGAGAAGATATTCTCCGACAAATTCTGGGCACTACGAGCAAACTTGGAGACCTTGACTTCCCAGCGCTGGCAGAGCGCACACACGGTTTCGTCGGACGCGACATTCACGATCTGTGTCTTCTCGCCCGAGACCGACGCGAACAGCAGATAGATGAGACGATAAGCGAGGAAGAAAAGACCACCTTTGGCGAGAAGCTTGAGCAAACAGACTATGTTTGTCAGGAAGATTTTGATGCCGTATTCGGAGAGGTACAACCGACGGTCCTCAAAGATAGCATTCTAGAAGTGCCCAAGGTCCGATGGACAGACATCGCCGGTCTGGATCATGTTCGCGCTGTGCTTGAAGCCATTACTATCCGTCCGTTCAAGGTAAGCTACATTCCTTTATCATCTCTATATCTCCCACGGCCGTGTACGGTGCACCCTTAGGCATTCCTCTACTTCTGCAACCAGGCTCAAAACTAATCGTATCTCTAGTATCCTGACCTTGACATCAAATTCGGCGGCCCTCAATCCCGAAAAGGCGTTCTACTCTATGGCCCGCCCGGCTGCGCGAAGACTCTGATCGCACAAGCGGTTGCGACGGAGAGTAAGCAGAACTTCCTCGCGGTCAAAGGCTCTGAACTCATCAAGATGTATGTGGGCGAGTCCGAGCGAGCTATCCGGGATGTATTCCGTAGAGCACGCGCGGCAAAACCGTGCATCATCTTCTTCGACGAAATCGACTCCATCGGCAAGTCGCGCGAGAAGACGCAGGATAGCGGTCTCAACGTCGTTACAACGCTACTAAACGAGATGGATGGTATTGAAGCACTCAAGGATGTGTTCATCATCGGCGCGACCAATCGGCCTGACATTCTCGACTCGGCGCTCATCCGTACCGGTCGTTTCGATGCTCATATTCACATCGGCCTTCCGACTGAAGAAGCGCGGAGGCAGATCCTGCAAATCCATACGAGAAAGAGACCGCTTGCAGAGGACGTCGATCTCGATGTTGTTGCCAAGAAGACAGACGGGAGCAGTGGAGCAGATATCAGTGGATTGTGCGCTGTCGCTATCGAGTTGGCGATTACGGACTACACAATGGATCCCAACAGCGAGCCGAGACTGTACATGCGACATTTTGAGCAGGCGCTGCAGCAACACGTCCCACATACCATTGCGGATGAAGCCGAACGGTACAAGAACTGGCGGCCAGGCACGTCGCTGTCGGAGCCGTCGAAATCGGAGAAGTAAACAGATGATGCTGTTGGTCTTCAGGATTAGTCGAACTGATCGTGCGCTTCGTCATGTACTTGATCTGAAAAAGCTAGATATAAACACATGCTTTAGATTGTGCGAAGAAAGCTGTTCTATCAAAATTGCACAATAAAGAGATGCGGAGTGCTTTGCTTGTATGATAGATCGGTATAGATCACCGTGAAGGTTTTTATGTTACAACACAACACACGAAAGGCAAGGGTATCCTCGAACACAATTCCGTAACGCCATTCCCCCCAGCCCCAGTTCGAAATCCCGTTGTATGTACTTAGCCAGCAAGCTCCGCCTCCTTGAAGATCGGTATGTTGATGTCGAACTCTTCGTCAAAGCCGGCCACTCTGCCGAGAATACAATTGGCTTTCTTTTGTGCCTGCTCGCTCATGTCCGCCACGTGCGTGAGCGCAATATGGTTCATAAGTGTTTCCACACCACCGTAAACGCCCGTGACTTTGTCCTGCCCTGAGCAAAGCAGGCAGCCGAAGTTGTCGTCGTTTGAGCTAGGTTCTGCTGCCTTCTTCTTCACGTGTGATTTAGCGAGAAACATCCACCTGGAGAGTGGGAGACGAAGTCAGCATATTTCTCACATGCTTTTTGAACAAGGACACGCTTACCGATACCGTATCCCGGACATGGAAGTCTTGACACGCGGGTCCACTATCTCGACAGTCTTGTTCTTTTTCGTGGGGTGCGGCTTCGTGAAGACGTCGCCCGTGAAGGTGCAATGCTTACACCCCCAAATCTGCTTTGTGTTGTAGTAGCCGCAGGGCTGAGTGCGGACTGTGATACCGTTCTTAAGGTCTTCTCTGACAGCCCAGGCACCCTTGCAAAATCCCCAGTAATCGTTGTCCTTGTTAGGGCGGCCGTTCATCATTCTTTCACCACCTGCTGGTCCGCTTTTAATAGTATCGAATCTGATGTTGTTGCGCATGCCGTGGCCTGGAAGGATGCCGATCGGAATAGAGCTGCTGCTGTCGGTTGAGGCGACAGAGGGCGTAAAACTAGCATGTCGAGGTCGGCTTGTAGCTGGAGAAACTGGCATCAAAGAAGTAGCGGCTGCTGTTGGAGAACTATACACAGCCGCTTGGGAGTTGCCGTTGCTACGTTGGCCGGGTATGCCGCGTTCTGTTGCAGGTGCAATATAATGCTGAGGGTGCACGAACTGTCTAAGGCTGGCAAGGTGTCCTTCAGCTGTTGCAGGATATTGCTGTGGCTGCGTATACGGTACGGATGGTGTTTGGGAAAGTGAAGGGGAAGGATCTCGTTGCTGTTGTGATCCAGGCCAAGGCATGTGCGTAGGTGCATTTGCGTCGTTCTTGGGTGTATTGATGGGCGGCGCATGAGATTGAGGGCGTAAAGGTGCCAGGGGTGCAATGGGAGAAGGTGTATATCTGTCTTCTGGCGCCATATAGGGAGAGCTGTATGGCGGAGCACTACGAATCTCATCGTCTTGATCATATGGTGCTACTGGAGGTCGGGCATGTTCACCTTGCGATGAGTTGGAGCTTTTGCGGCCAAGAGAAGCTGTGTTAGACTGCGTAGAGCTAGAGGTATCAGACCATCGAGGATGTAGTGTATGCGTTCCTGTCTGGTGAAATGAACTACTTGCGGGATGCGGCTGATTGTAGACATGCTGCTCCTTTATCGGCCTAACGGTATTCACTTGACTGGAAGCCAAGGGTGAATCATGGGAACGCTCATTCAGGCTTCTATCCAGCTCTTGCATTGATTCAGTATATGCGTCTCGGTCATTGAGCGTGGTCAGCGTATCTCGGCGGGTGGGATGGGCACCACTATGCCTGTGGGGTTTCCCTAGTCTTGACTCGTTTTCGACGTTAAGGCCTTGATAAGAGCTAATCATGTGCTGGATATCATTCATAATCGATGCGCGGTCTTCAGGGCGAAGTCTGTCCAGAGCTAGAATGACAGGCTCCACAGCTTGAGCAGGGGTATAGGCCGGCCGAGACGCTCTCGACGTGTCTTGGGGCCGGCAATAGTCGGGCAGACTGTGTCCAGTATAACCAAAATCGTTCTGCGATGGAAAGCTTGCGGTCGGATAGCTATCTGGCAGTGAACGTATCTGGCCATGCCTCGAGTCACTTGATATGTCCTTGTAGTTCTCACCGACCGCCCTCAACGGTCGCACCATCGGCTTTGCTATGTAGATTCTTTGTTTCAGCTCGTCCAATGTCGTCAGAGTCTCTTTTCGATTCGTAATGGAGGCTTCGTGGAGGACATGCAGATTAAGCACACAAACTTCGCTGGAGGCTCAACGTTAGCTCTATCCCGATATGCCAAACATCTGGATACTCACTTCGTAGCGGCTTGCCGTAAACTGTTGATTATTTCGGCCTGCAGCATGAAGCCTATATGGTAGAGACGTTCCCGAGCGGTATCTGTGCGCATGTCTTAATTCTCAAGTCCACTATACGAGCCTGTCTCGTAGAACTTACCATCTCCAACGCGCACATAGTCACCCAACTCTCTCTGATCTTGCTTATATCTTAGAGCAATCTGCTGTTCTCCAGCGATAAGAGAGTCTTGTAGCTGCTCCTCCTCCCATTCTTGCTGACCTTGATCGCGGGCTTTACGAGCGCGGCGTTTCTGCTTGACAAGCTTGAGGAGCTCTGATCCACCGTGGAACGCGGAAACAACAGCAGACACTGCTGCGACGATCTGATTAATTGTGAGCAACAGTCAGAAGAGGAGACTTGTATTCTTGGGCGAGGTCGCGTGCGCACACCTGCAGATGAAGTTTCGGGGCATAAAAGAGTAGACCTACCTCAAGACCGGACATTCTCGATAACGAGTTATTGTCCCTCGAAGGTGGCCGTTTTGCTTTGCTGGTTGGCTAGATAGCGCTCCCAGATCGTGTTGAGACCATTAGGGCGAAGCCTTCCACTGGTTTCTGGTTTCTGGTCCTGGTTCTCGTTGTATCGAGGATGGTTGAGCCTGAGCAGGCTGAAAATCGAATGTCTCGACTGATCCTCAGATTTAGGGCTGACTAGGCTTGCGATAAGCACCAACTGCGCGCAGTGATGGGCCTTTCTAATACATGCTCAATCAGTACGAGAGGAAGCAGAGCTACACGCAGAGTCGTTGCGTAAGATAATGCGATGGAGGCCGAAGGGGAAGATTGGATAGCCAAGCTGGAATAGAATAGATTGATTGTAAAGTGAGAAGGGGAAGTCCCTCAGAAGGCTGAAGAGGGTTCCTTCCCATCGGTACTCCGCCTTGCTCGAGTCTGACTGGGTGGCCTGCGACCGCTGTTTACATTAGGCTAAGCCTTTGCTGAGCCAGGCGTAGGCGACAGTATTGCTTGACCGAGGTGCAGCGCTCATTGTGCTATCTAGCGCGGCCGCTCCAATGATGAGTAGCGATGGCTTCAGGCCAGGCGGGCTGTGTGATGCCGTCTAGCCTGGAAGCGAGTGGCATACTGTATCGTAAAGCAGGAAAGGCTTGGCTGGTGGCTTCTTTGCAGCCACATCTCTGACTAGTCCGGCTCTTAATTTGACAGATGCGCTCTGCTGCCAGTATGAGGGCCTATCGTGACGGGTGAGGCTTGAGGCCTGCTGCTCGCCAAGAGGTGGGGGCTGAATGGTGAGGGCCACACCCCGAAAGTTGCTTGAGAGCCGGCCCTCTTCGCAGGAAACAAATTCAGCATGCACCTAGGTAGTGTGCGCTGTAGGTCTCGGAGACGAGAGGCTGGAGCTCGGTCACTTTGGCTGAAGTCTGCTGGGTGGACGGCAGTGAGATGATGGTGCGCCTTCCTGCTTCCGCTCCCGAGCGGGGGTGGCCAGGTGGTTCGCGCCATAGCCACCACGCTTCTCCAAACGGTAGCTGCGACCATGTGCCATGCCTGCCTACGAAGAGTACGCGGGAGAAGTCTGTGCCAGAACACACTCAACCGAATGCTCGTTCTTTCTAGACAGCTTTTCGCAGTACCAGAAGACATCCCGAAAGCGTTCGCAACCCTGTATACATACGAAACAGCGCCGATGCGATGCATTCTACCGGTTCACCGGTCGATCCTCTCGGCCCCATTCCAGGAATGTGGGTTTCGGGACGCACGGCGTTCAGCAGGAGCCCAGAACTCACAAGCTCTAGTCAGCGACAAAGTGACGATAAGCGCAGCAATACTGTAGTTGTTGAAAGATCCATTCGCAAACTTGCAGGCCTTCTGGCGGTACCAAAGTCTTTCGCCTAACCCTATCCTTTCACCGACCAGCAGTACGTCTCGAATCATCCCTAGCCGCACATGAAGAAGTCCAGGGATATCCTGGAGAATGCAACCAGAACGACCCTCGCTTATAAGAAACAACCCGCATAAACCCAAATGGCACGCGAGTACATTTTGCAACTCTCGGTGTATCAGCGCACAACGCCCTAGTAATACCAAGTCCCGATCGCTAGAAACGCGATTCAACGTAGAAGGACAAACGAAAAAGAAGAAGAACGAGATGTTCTCCAAAGTTTGTAGAAGTGAATGAAGAGACAAAGCTTATGCATCTTCGAGCTGTACCCTCTGGCTCTTCCGGTTCCTGACTTCCACCATTGTAGGGGTGAGGGCCAATCGATCCACCACACGATCCTCGTGCGGACTCGTCAAAGTGCGAACCACGCCTCTTGGGCTATTCGCTCTGCTGACAGATACACTTCTTGCGACGCCAACCATGGCTTTCGCTGTGGCGACTTCTTCTGTCTTTCCTTCTCTCCTTCTTGCTTGGATCTCAGCTCGCTTCTCACCGAGTCTACTGGCCGAGTGTGGTGGAGTTGACAAGCTCTGCAACCTCTGCAGTGGGGAGGGTGCGTCAAGAGGTGCAGAAGACGGGTGCGATGACAGCGCGCTGAGTTTGGTCACCTTCGGCTGCTGTTGCGAGGGCGAGCGGATTAGTGGGGACGACGGCTCGCTGTTGACTGTAAGGGTCTCGCTTTTCAGAGCCCTCACTGGCTTCGTGCAAATCTCCCATTCAGGCTCT